TGGGATTCCACAGTCTGAAACAACGCGTTTATTTTAGGCTGAAAAACACGTTTTGAGAAGTGTGCCGATCCTGCACTAGCAGTTACTGGGGGGTGACCAAAGTTGCCCAAACGTGTTTATTTCTGCTGAAAAATACGTTTTGACAACTTCTGCACACTTGGGTTAAGGGCTGACTCAGTGGGCTCTGCTGAGCCAGGCAGTTACATTGGGACACCTGAAGAAGGCTCCACGGCCGAAACGTTGTGTTCTCTTTCTTCTTTTTTTCAGTATGGAATAAACCTATTTCTTGTTCCTTTGCAGTTACATTGGGATTCCACAGTCTGAAAAAACGTCTTTATTTCGGGATTAAAAACACATTTTGAAAATTGTGCTGTTCCTGCCCCAGCAGTTGCAGGGGGATGACCAAAGTTGCCCAAACGTGTTTATTTCTGCTGAAAAACATGTTTTGACAACTTCTGCACGCTGGGGTCAAGGGCTGACTCGGTTGGCTCTTCTGAGCCAAGCAGTTACATTGGAATTCCAAAGTTTGAAAAAAACGCGTTTATAGTTTTATAAAAGACTCATAAAAGAATAAAAGGCACAAATTCAGGCTATCACTTTGTGTTATCATGTATTTAGTCAGATTAACTCATTATTGCTTTTACCCTGTTTTTTTAATGTGTTTTGATGTTAGTGATGTGTTGGGGGTCCTGATCCTGGAGCAGAGCTCTCTTCACCAGTGAGCACTGACTGAACTCAGTCACCTTGGTGCTGGTGCTTCCCGGATCCGGATTAGTAGGGCTAATCTGTGCTTTTGGTCCAGTTTCAGGGCTGTGAGATGGGAGGCCAGCTGTCAGTGGACCCCAGTGTCCATGTCGTGATTGTGGGAGGAGGCTTTGGGGCATTGCAGCCGCCAGGCAACTGCAGTCCAAGGGGTCCCCTTCACTCTGGTGGATCTCCGGGATGCGTTTCACCACAACGTCAGCTCCCTGCGAGCATCACTGCAGACCGGTCAGTACCCTCATCAAGGGCTAGTAGCATGAATGCCCTCCTTATACAGGGACATTCACACCTTCAAGGTGAGCTCATGGGTTAAAAGATATATGTCCTAGTACTCCCTGGCTCACATTGATTAGTTATTTTCCATTTCCAAGTGCATTTATGAGTTACCACAATAGAATTAGATGTAAAAGAATCGAACTGAGCTTCAGCAGAGCTGGGGTTATACCTCCTCCAAGCTGAAATTAGGGTTTTGTGTCTGTTGCATTATTTAGGGGCTGAATTTAATGTTATGCCTGTCCCGGCAGGCAGGAGCTGACTGCCCTCTCAGCCTGCACTCTGTGTCTGTGTCCGAGGGTGCACTCCCCCTGGAGATCCTGCTAAAGGAGATCCTTTTCTTACATAGCATGTTGTCCAGCCAGGTTTCGCCCCGCAGACCTTCATCCCCTATGCTAAAACCTTTGGGGAGTGTTTCTGGCAGGGCCGCATGGTGCAGATTGACTTTGAGGCACAGCTCAGAGAGGTACTGTATGGTCTTGGGTCACACTCGGCCTGGGAGAGCAGGGAGTAGAAGTCGTGTCCCTGGGGTCTGGAGCTACAGTCTGGGGCCACACTCGCCCTGGGAGAGCGGGAAGTAATGGTCCTCACTTTGGGGTCCAGGCGTACAGTGTGAATTGTTACCCCACTTCTGTTCTTCCAGAGGATTATCTACAGTCTTTATACTTAGCACTTTTAACACTTTCAATAGACCTAGACTATATAGCCACAGTAATACTCTTGTAAGTTCACCCTGGCATTTGCTATAAAGATATCTGAAAACTGCTGTGAGACTCTTAAGCATACACTGTTTCTTGCTGACTTTTTTTTTTCGTTGACCTTGCTCCAGTAAAACAGGTTTTCTCACCTCATCCTGTGCACTGGTTGTGATGGGCCCTTTCCAGGGAAGTTCAATGAGGTGACCATCATGGGCGCAGCCATTGGGAAGTATGAGGACGTGGTGAAGCAGGTAAGCAGCAGCTCTGGACAGAGGCTTTGGCTCAGAGGGAAACTGCCTTTGAGATGGCTATAAGCTGTCAGTGTTCAGCTCCACTTTTTAAAATCTGGAATGTTTATAAGGTAACATGATAACTTTACAATACTTTAATCCCACAAAACACCCTGCATTAGAATGTAACAACTTTAGAATGCTTACCACAAGAGAAGAGAAATTGCCAGTTGGCTCATTTATTGCTAATAGTTTCTCATCTCTCTCTTTTTGAAAGAAACTGGGGTATCAGCATCAATAACACTTTGACCCCTACAACACTTTGTGTAAACAAGTGCTTCCTGTTCTCTTGTTTAAATGCTGTTCCTTGTGGTTTCCACTTGTTCCGTCTACTTTGTGTTTCACCGTTTATTCTAAAATAAATAACAGTTTTACAATAAACGGTTTCACTGTTAATTCTAAATTTCAGTTTTATTCTAAAACTGAAAAATCCTTTAGTCATCACCTTTGAGAAGAAGTTTCTTCTTCCAGCTTAGCTTTTTTCATTTTATATTTATTGTTTGGCTTTCCTACATGTATGCAATACCTTGCGCTTGTCTACATCACTACCTCTTTCAGGTATTCAGGTACTGAATGTTGTTGATGTCTTACTGAATTTCCTTTACAGTTTGTACTGTTTTCTAATCTCTTGTGTGAACTTTACTAGTTTATTAAATATACCAGAATTTCACATGTATTCATATTTATTGATAAGAATTAGTAAGAACAGTATTTTTAGCATACTGTAGATCCCTATGACACTGCACTGCTACTATATTATGTGTAATCCCCAATTTGAACATTCACCCCATATCAGAGAACTCTTGTGTTTAAGTGATATTAGCGATTTTAGTGATTGCCCAGTCCCTGCACTTTGAGACTTAGTCTTCTATGAAGAACTTAATCAAGACTTAAGAAAATCTTAAACACCATATTAAAATGCTCTGTCTGAATCCATTACTATTGTTGCTTATTGAAAGAACTCTAACTAGTTAGTCATGTTATTTAAACTTAAGAGATGACCATCTGGTTTAGTTCAAATTATAGTTTTCATTATCTTATACAACTATATAACAGAAGTAAGATTTATTGGTCTGTAATTGCTTTTGGTTTTTGATATCGCTTATATGGATGGTGCTACGTTAGCACTCAACAGGTATTTCATATATCCTTAGAGATTGCTAGAATAATTTTGTGAACTGATGAAGAGAAACCCTAGTTTTCCTATGTGCAATTAGTAGAATACCATCAAGGCCTCCAGATTTCCTCATCTAAAGTGCTTCTAGCACCCATAAAACTGCCTGTTACTGTGAATGCTAAGTAATATAGAACTTTGCCTTTTCTCAGACTGGGATATGTAGTCTTTCTTCCTTGATAATCATTTGTAAGTTCTTCCTTAAAAGCCATACTGCTAGGTTCACTTGCCTTCACAGAGATAATACAGCTGTAAAAGTGAGCAGGCACAAGCAAACAATGTCTGAAGGCATGGTCTTGACAAAATGCAAGCCAGATATTTACACTAGTAGCATTGAAAAGGGTGAAATTGATGGTGAAATTGAGCTTCATGTAAGCACTCTGATTGATTGATTATGTCCTCCTGTGTAATTTCTTGTTTTTGTTGTTATCAAGCACAGAAGCTGTGCCACCAGCTCTTTCTCATGGTGGAGATTAGTTCTAGGATGCCCTGAGGAGAATTCTTCTACAGCCATGAATATTAACACCCTGTAGCTATTAGACAGTTACCTGCTGTTTATGTAGGTGTAATAAATATTGACTTAAATATGGTTTAACCAATATATCTGTACTTTTGTGTGCGTTACATATTGTTGATGAAAACTCAGTCTTCACTCAGGTTAGGAGATTGTCAAACAGAGATCTTTAATTCAATCAGCTGAAGGGGAGCATATCACAGAGAAAGGGTTTTCCCTAGCACTCAGTAAGATATGCTCACTTTACTGAAGTTACTTTCCTTTTTATACATTAAAATTAGTGAGACTTTAACATATCAAAGGAACATAAAGGGAAAGGGACAGTGTCAGATGTCTTTCAAACATAAACAAGACAGGACAGGAAGATGCCATTTGGCATCCTGCAATCTGTTTCATTTCTCTCTGGTTGAATACACGGGTGTGAAGAATCACAGGCTTTAGTTGCAGAAAGACAGTGGTCTTGGGTGCAAACAGAAAACCTTTCTTGTGCATTTTCACTGTCTTGACCCATGTCACTCGGTCTTCCACAATATGTATTAGCCAGCATGTTCTGTACATTTAGCACACCCATAATTAAAATAGGGCTACCACTCGATACAATGAAGAGTGGTGGTGATTGGCAGAAGATCAACAGGAATAGAAATGGCAGCTGAGATCAAAACGGAGTATCCTCACAAGAAGGTAAAGAGCTTCTACAGTGTCTATCTGCATATACCAGAGATGCTGGGCTCCTATCTATGGGTCTCTGTCTGCCTATGTTCCAGTAACACTGGGCACCTGTTTATGTTTCAGTGTCTGTCTGAGTGCCATTGATACCAGGTACCTTTCTGTGTGTCTCTGTCTGAGTGCTGTTAAAACTGGGTGCCAGTCTGTGTTTCTCTGTCTGTCTGAGTGCCAATGACACAGGACATCATTCAGTGTTTCTCTGTGTATCCGTATACCTGTGACACTGGGCACCTGTCTGTGTGTGTTGGTCTGTCTATGTACTGGTGACACTGGGCGCCTGTATGTGTGTCTCTTTCTGAGTGTCCGTGGCACTTGGTGACTGCCTGGGTGGTAATGAAACACAGTTCTTTTTCTGGTTTCTATCTAGGTTGTCTTGATACACTCACATGTCGCTCTAGCGGATCCAGAGTTGCTGCCCAGTGTCCGACAGCAAGCCAAGGAGGTCTTGTTAGATAAAGGGGTCCAGCTGGTGTTAGGTATTAAAAAACAGACAAACTCCTGACAGACTCTTTAAACTTCTCAAACAGTGTGTTTGAACTTGAACTTGAACTTTATTGCCATATGTAACCTGTACTGGTACAATGGAATTCTTACTTACAGAAAGTCTCTCGATTGTAAAACAAGTGTAAAAAACAAAACAAAGTGCAAACAGTGCATCAAGACAATGTACAAACAAACAATAGACAATGTGCAAGTAAACATGCAGACAGTTTGAATGTAAACAATACAGACATGTAAACAATGACTGGAGACGTACAATTAATACATTACAATGAGGTAGATGGTGATGGTGTAGGTGTGGTCCGAGGGGGATGGCTAAATGTGTTCGCCAGTCTCACTGCTTGTGGATAGAAGCTATTGAAGAATCTAGTGGTAAGTGTCCGTATGCTCTTATATCTCTTGCCTGAGGGCAGTGGGGTGAAGAGCTCATGCCCTGGGTGGTGACTGTCCTCTGTGATGGCCAGAATTCTACCACGGCAGCGGTCCTCATAGAGTTGTTTAATCTCGGTGAGACCGCAGCCGATGATCTTCTGGGCCATATTGACCATTCTCTGCAGTGCCTTTCTTTCTCGCGAAGAGGTGTTGCCATACCACACGGTGATCCCGTTGGTGAGGACGCTCTCAATAGTGCAGCGGTAGAAGTTCACCAACACATGTATTGGCATCCCCATCGCTTGAGGAACCTCAGGAAATAAAGGCGCTGCTGAACCTTCTTCATGATAGAGTCAGTGTTCACAGTCCAGGTTAGATCTTTAGAGATGTGAATTCCCAAAAACCTAAAGCTGGTGACTGTTTCCACTTCCGTTCCATCAATACTGAGTGGGCTGTGAGTGTATGGCCTTTGTCTCCGAAAGTCCACTATTAGCTCTTTCGTTTTCTTTATGTTCAAGTCCAGGTTATTGCTATGACACCACCTGTGGGCGGAGTGGTGGCTCTGTGGCTAAGGATCTGTGCCTGTGACTGGAAGGTTGCCGGTTCAAATCCTGCGGCTGGTGAGGAATCCTACTCCGTTGGGCCCCTGAGCAAGGCCCTTAACCCTAACTGCTCCAGGGGCGCCGTACAATGGCTGACCCTGCGCTCTGACCCCAAGCTTCTCTCCCTGTCTCTGTGTCTGTGTCTCCATGGAGAAAAGCTGGGGTATGCGAAAAGACGCATTCCTAATGCAAGAAATTGTATAGGGCTAATAAAGAAACATTAAAAAACATTACATTAAGCAGCTGTACAACTTCATCCCTGTAAGTGGACTCGTCATCATCACTGATCAGTCCTATTATAGTGGTGTCATCGGCAAACTTGATGATGCCGTTATTGCTGTGTCTTGCTGTGCAGTCGTGAGTAAATAGGGAGTACAACCTTGGACTCAGACAGCAGCCTTGTGGGGTTCCAGTGCTCAGGGTGAGTGGTGTTGATGTTTTATTGCCTATCCGCACCACCTGTGGTCTCTTAATTATTTTCTTAATTTCTTAATTCTTAATTATGTTTCTTAATTATAGCACCTTTTTTACAGTTTAGCACCTCTCCTTAATTGTCAGCATTCTGCCTGAACTTTTTCACCACGCCCTGCATTGTGCACATGATTCAGGTATCTGGTACTGCTGTAGTTTTGTCGATTTAGTGTTTGGTTTTGTTATGTGTGTTCTTTATCTTTGTGTCAAGTTTTCAGTTTTATATATAGGAAGCAAATCATGGTCTACTGTGTGATGAAGTTACATGTGCACTTGTGCAATAGATGTACAGAATCGATGCTCACATTAAGCCACTGTAGTTGGCTTAGTTTTCTCTAGTGTGTGCTCCTTACATTGGTCCCTTTTATGAAGGTGTCTTTATAGTTCACAGTGCTCATAGTACAGTTGTTTGAATAGGTTATGTGATATTATAAACACTCTGCAACTGTTACAATAACAAACACAAACTGGAGCAAAATTATTGTTGCCTCTTTCAGAATCAACTTCCATCATTATGCTTACAGGCACAGCAAGGCTGTGGGAAAAAGGAAATCATGTGAAACAGGGTCTGAACAATTTCTGAACAATTATAAGAACCAAAAGTTCTCTTGCTTTTAAGTGGCACAATCTTTTGGTGTTTTTTCTTCCTTGAACTCCAGCATTACTGTCAACTGTTATTACCTTTCCCTGCTGAAATCATCCTCTTATTGCATTTAGTAGAGAAGGTGAGCAAACTTGAGGCTCTCACTCAATATGACCCAGAAGAATACAACGGTCATCAGAGACAAAGGCACAGAGATCACTGCTGACCTGGTCATCCCCTGCACAGGGAATAAGGTCAACTCCACTACCTACAGTATGCCTCTGCCCTGGGTAAGACTCAGGCACTATGGGAAAGCGGGATGTGAAGCATGTTTTGAGCTCAGCTGTTGGATTGAGGCTTTTGCTGTCGTAAGAAATTGGAGACAGGGCACTCAGGGAGGAAAGGGAAACCCTTGTATTTGGCTTTTTCACAAACAGGAGGCACTCTGCTGCCCTCTTGTGTCCCAAGCACACCTCTCAGCTGCTGTTCAGTGGCATTTTTTCCTGTGAGCATGCAGACTTGAATTTAGTGTTCCGTTAACTATACATTAGGCTCTGAAAATCTGTAAGTTTAACATTTGAACATTTGTTATTTCATGAATTGGTCTAGTTGACAGGGTCTTGGATGGGAGAAGTGTAGAGCAGGATGAAACAAAGCTGAAGTAAATTCAACTTTCAAATTAGCTACGCAACAGCCTAGGATCATTAGATTAGTGAGACTCTCCATGCCCCCTGCCCAAGTACTTGTTACCCAGCTTCTAAACGTGGTCTTGATTTCGTATTGTTACAATGCTCTTGGTTCTGTGATGGCACCTTTTGGGAAGACGGGCAGGAAACGGCATCACTGTGAAGGCAGAGAGAGAAAGTGCAGGCTTCCTCTGGGTGTAGTGGAGGGATGATTACTGTTGTTTTAATTTGTTAGTGTTATTTTAATTAACTTAAAGCCAGTGTATTAATACTTAAATTTGAGAAGGATTTTCAACCAAGTACTAAACATGACAATTTTATTTAAGTTAATGTGTCCAATTACTTTTGGTGCCCTAAAATGGGAGGACTATGTATAAAAAGGGTTGTGATTCCTGCTGGAGTACAGAGCAAAAACAATAAAAATTCTGTCACTGTCCAAATACTTATGGACTGTACTGTACATGTATACATGTGTGTTATGTATCAGTTGACTTGTAATATGTGAATTTGGATCTTTGTGCTGGTTCTCTGCACCAAACACTCTTGAATGTCAAGACCCTACTGTATTCAGTTCTTAGTCATCAAAATAAACATTTCATTTTACTCTTAAATATATTTTCTTTCTTTCTGATGTAGAATTTGTGATTTTTAAGGTGCAAGTTATGTTAGGGGTAGATGATTGAAACAAGGACCATGAGAACCTAACCCCCTACTGTCAGTATTTATCCAAGTGGTTCAGGGATGCAACACCACAGTTGATGAGGGAAAGCTGTACTTCAGAGTCCACGAACAGCTGCTTGTCAGTGTGTTGAAGTTAATATAGAGATTTTCAATTAGCTTTTCACAGTTGCACCATGTTTCATTATTACTGTTCAGGGCTATGTGCAGTATACAGTAAATAAAAGTTCTTGTAGTTTTTTTCTGCTGAAAGAGAACAGCAAAACATCTTCATCTTCTGAAGATCAGATTTCAACCTTTCGCATCCAAATATTAAAGCGCAGTCAGAATGTTAATTCTGGAAAGACTGGCCATTAAACAATAAGAACAATGTGAGGTACAAAACTAGTTTCTAGAGGCCCGCTGCTTAGCCTGTAAGCATCATTTTTGTAGTAACAGTCTCTACAATCTCCTAGGCCTCTTTGTCTTAGCATTTAGAAACAGATGATGCAATGTTTAGTTTCCTTCAACCTGCAGCCTGTTGAGTTCAACAGTGCCCTCCTCATGTGATTGCAGGATATGTGCATCTTATTATGCATCTCATAAAGATACTGCTGGGAAGATGTATAGCCATGTGTTAAAATCAAGAGTGCTGAGAGCACAAGAGTTCTTTGTCAGAATAATCTGTTTATGTTCTTGATTTGTATTATGGTGATGGTAGAGGGGATCATACATTTTTTGGTCTTTTCTTTTTCTGATGATTGAGAAGGAGCCCAGCTTTATTCAACAAGTATGTTTGTCAGGTGCAGCTATGGTAGATAATGGAGCATTGCGAGTGAAAGCTCACCTCCAGGTGGAGGGCTGGGAGAATGTGTATGCAGTGGGTGATTGTGCTGATGTCAAGGAGCCAAAAATGGCCTACCATGCTGGCCTGCATGCAGGGGTGGCAGTTACCAACATCATCCACAGTCTGACCAACAAGCCTCTCTCTTGCTACAAGCCAGGTACTAATTAATTCTCTTTTAGAAGCAAATGCAATCACTCTGAACTCTGTAGCACACATGCAGATAGACCTCAGCTATGTAGGTATTCCTGCAATGGACAGCCAGTCCATGAAAGTATGTTGGCTTCATTGGGAGGTAGGTTATCATTCACCTGGCACAATTTACGGGGCTATCTGTATGTGCTGTTTGCCTGTCTTTTCTTCCTGCCTTTATTTATAGCCCATGTACTTCTTCTTAAATCCCAGTAATCAATAAAAATGTACATTATTACAAAAACATTGCATTGCTTAAAGATTGACAAGATTCACTCGGTCAGAAGAGTGGAGTCGCCACATTCCATTAAATTCATTGAAGGCAGGTGATGCACCTGTTGGCAATTGTGGTGATATGACCCAGGCTCGCACCTGCAATAAGTGGCATAGAGCTCCACATGCGCTAGTGTGTATGCCTGTACCAGTTAGTACTTGGGTTTCCTCACAAGGATTCATTTGCTATATTGCAATTTAATAAATTACACATAATTGTGTTTGATTACTGTAGCACCTGTCACTGTTGCTAAAGCCATAAAACCTGGAATACTTGGGCGGCAATAATATAGGCCCAAGATTCACAAATAAAACTACAGGTGTAACATGAAAAAGGCATACTCAGGAAATAACCAAGCATTTTGTGAAATGCAAGATCTTTTTGTTCTCGGGTAGAGCTCTGGTGATTGAGTAATAAATCCAGGTTTATCATGACACTATAAAACACAATTTTACAAGTACATACTCAGAAACCCAGAATTCTACCCCTATAAACTGAAAACACTATGCACCTAAACAGTCAAAAAAAGAGAAAAAAATGCATCCTGAAACATTAACAAAACTAAATTCCCTTCCTACAACACTGATACCAAAAAGTGAATGGAAATTATAAAAATTCATCACCAAATTTTGAGAGAACTTTTTTGGTCTAAGGATTCCACAACACACGAAATTAGAATTTCCCAAAATAAATAAAACAGCAGTTCTCTATAAAAATGTTTAGATTATTTAGCTGGAATCTTGTCTCTCTCAAACTTTCTGCCTCATCTCTTTTTCTTCAGTGTCTCCGTTTATACTGTGTTCCATCTTTGTTGAATGGATTTTCTTCCATATGAGGGTCTTTAATGATTCACAGGGAAATTAATGGACTTGAGTAAATCACCTGTGTTTACTTGCCTCTTAGTCCATAGCCTGTTAAGCAAATACCTGAAAATAATTACCATCATTGAAAATCTTTGGCATAGAGCAGTCTTGACAGAGAATGGAAATTGGGCTAAACTTTGCTACCTCCTCTGATCATAACATAATATTCATTTTCAAAATTGTGGTTGAAAATAAATGTTTTAAAATTAATTACTTTGTAATTCCATGCTATACCAGTAATGATTAACCAGCCTATAAAGGAGGCCAAATGGGTATACAATGTGGTTTAAAGAATGTCAACATCAAAAACTGGATGTATGGTTATCAGTAGTTTGCAGGGTGCTACTCCCAGTCCTGCTATGTTTGGCTGGACCAGTTTTTCCTGTTCTTAGACACCAGGGAGACAATAACAGGAAGGATGAAGTGGGACTCCTTGTGTGTTACAGCATGGTGATCATGCTTAAGTCTACTCAGTGGAATCTGGGTCAGGTGTCATTAAGGAAATAAAATGGAAATCTTCCTTCTGCATTCTCTTCCCTCAGTTCTGGTTTCTGCAGTCATGTTGTCAGGGCTGGGCTGCACAGTTAATTCCCCACATACTGTAAGTCCTTTGTAAAAGGAGACTTCAGGTCAGCAAGAGTGAAGCTCAGTGTCCTCAGGCTGGTGCCCAATCAAGGTCTGTAGATAGGTATAAGAGAAACACACAAGAGGCTTTTCATGAAGGAGAGCGATAAGCAGACAGGTTGAGGCTATACAGTTTTACAGTCTGTTGATACAGTGACTCCTGGGACACACTTCCTCATACCAGTGGTTTCCCTCCTGTGTGCTCTTCACCCTTCCCCAGGGTATATGACCATGCTGGCTGGACGAGACGGTGGGGTGGGACAGTTCAGTGGCATCCGACTAGCCAGGACCCTGGTGGTGCAGGGAAAGAACATGAATCTGCTGTTATGGAAGAGCTGCAGGGAGATGGGGCAGGTGGCCTTGCAGTGAACGTGCTTTCACGTCTGCGTCATCACCAGTCAGCACCGTGGCCCTGCTAGACCAGCTTCTTCAGTGCAGAGACCCCTTTTGCTCCCTGCAGTTCACTTTAAGATCCTTAGACAGAATACATTAAAAGTATCTTTTAACAAATTTGTACTTACATTTTTGAAGTAAACATTTAACTTTTGTTAAAAAATGAAGTAAATTTTATGATCCAGTGTCTATCCTTGTCATTTTGTTGAAACTGACACTCTGGCTTCTTTAGAGAAGAATTAGATGGGTAAACATCCTCTAGTCTGTGAACTTTATTAAGGCATCAAGTAAACAGTTAGTAGTCAGTCAATTTGACAGTAAGCCTTTTAAGCTTAAATTCCTACAGCACTATTCTTCAGCAATGTACGAGGGTGGAAGTGTTACACCTGACCCATGTACACAAAGTATAAAATTTTGACCAACAATTGCATGATTCATCATGCTTAGGGTACAGTTTGTTCTGCCAAGATTAGTTCTAAATATTTGCATAAACACTACATTTTCCAGCTACTAAGTAATTTTCTAGATGTACAGTATTTGGGGTTATTTTCTGAAGAATATTAAGAAGGTTTAATTGTTTAGTATGGTGCCTCTTTAGTCTGGAGTTTGTTCACTAATCTATGTAGAGAACGGAGAGCTTGATTTAGCCTGTCTTCCCACACGTCTTGTATTTCATTAGATTGTTGGGATACATCCCAGCTGATTTAGGCAGCCCCAAGAGCACCAGACCCAGCAGCTATATCAACCTGCATCTCACAACTGGCAACCCACTGAAACTCAGCAGGAATGAACCTGGCCTGTACCTGGATGGGAGACCTACTGGGAAAAAACTAAGTTTAGTGCTGGATGAGGTGTTAGTGAGGTCAGGTGTTATTGAGGTGCATACCCTGCAGTTTGTGTCGGTCCTTATTTCACAGTATAGCGACAGGGATACTATACTGTAGAAAAGGCACCGTCCTTTGGATGGGACATAAAACTGAAGTCCCGACTCTCTGTGGTAATTAAAAATCCCTGGGAGTTCCTCAAAAAGAATAGGGGTGTTACCTTTGTGTCATGGCCAAATTTCCCACTGGTGCACTATGGGTGCCATCACATCATCCAGGTGGCTGCTGCACATTAGTGGTGGTTGAGACGAGTCCAGATTACCTGTAAAGCAATTTGAGTGGAGTATCTAGAAAAGTGCTATATAAGTTGTAGTGCCATGGGGGTAGTTGACACCGCATTGGGCGTGGATAGGCTCACAATCTCCCCTGTCACGCCCTTTTTAGGAACCTCCTGCTCCCAGACCCTAACACAGAGCCTCCTGCTCCTACTCCATTAGGTCACTGTTTCACACTCAACCAGTGCCTCAGACTCCCAGGTCCCCCTCCAACCCTAACATCCTCTTCCTAACGCCACCAGGTTGGGTTACACAAATACACACTATCTACATAACCGAGTATCTTCAGCACTACACACCATGCCAAGACCCAACACACTGTCCATCTCTAACACACACTCACAACCTCTCTGGCACCTCACTCTACGCCCTTAGGTAATGAACTCACAGCTGCCAGCGCACCTCACATTGTGCCCATCCACCACTGTGTTACATCTACGCAGCTGCCCACGCACCTCACTGTGCCCAGCCACCACTGCATTACACCATGCAGCTGCCAGCACACCTCACTGTGCCCAGCCACCACTACACTATGTCCGAGAAGGTGCAGCTAGATAGACCCCACTTGCTTCCTCGATACCAATATATTGCCAGGGGGAGGGTCCCTCTACCACATAACCCACTCTGGTCCACACACACTAACTCACTGATCAAATCACAACGTACTCATAAGCAGACACAGCACCCTTGCTCTCACACCCTAGCAGGATGCTGTCCCTTTAAATCTTTAGACAATCTCATAATTCTGTTTCTTCTGTCAGTCTCCTCACAGACTGACGTTTTCATTCTTTTCCTCGCAGGCTATTCCTCTCACAATCTCCTCCGCAATTGTCATTCTTCTCCACCCCCCTCACTGGGTTACTACAGCGGCTAATGGTCTAATCATCGCCCCGCTTTGTAGTGTCTCACACCCGCTACTATCATGCTACTGTCATGCTTCAGCCCAGCTCTCTCACAGCAGAACCTCCACATTTGTTCTCTCACCACTGCTGCCGGCAAGGAACCTCCTTTAAACCACTTCTACACCTGCCGTTCATTCACTTATTCACGTCAGGTGTGGTTTCCACGGCAACGCGTCTCCCTTAATCCGGAGCTCCGCCCCCCACACAAGACACTCCCTGCATTGTACCACCAAGTGTAAACAATTTATTTTTATTTAAGAGAATCCCCAAATTACTGCACTTCCTTCAAACAACAGACTCAGAATGGCTACATATAAGAGGTTGGCATTCTTTGCTGTTTAAGTCACGTACACAGTACTGGTCCAACTGGTAACTGATTATCCTGTAAAAGTGCAAACATACAGCAGCCACTCCTTGCCACGCCTAAGCCCTTCAGATGAGGATGTCAAACCAAGGTCCTGTCTTGTCATGCAAAATTACCCCACTGCATCTAAATATATCTGTTTTACAGAAAGACCAGGGCAGTGTTATGCTGTTGGGCTGTGGCTTGCTAAGAATGGCTGTAGGTGCTTTTGTGAATGCTCTGTACTCTGCAGCTGTACACATCTGTCTGCTGAGTTTCCTCTTCTAGGGTAATGCAAACATTTGTTGCACAGTAATATGTATCGGGTGTGGCTTTCAAAAAAGTTGTAGTACTATCGGCATGACATGGGCACTAGCCTTTCAAAACAGTCTTCAGAAAATGACAATCAAGACATGCAGTACAGCCTTCACCTGTATTAAAAAAAGATTGGGACAACATAATAAAATTTATTTTTATTTTATGCATTTTCATTAAACAAAAAATCCCTTTTTTAAAGGTTTATTTTAAGCTGGAATATATATGTGACACCTGCACAAGACCCCCAGGTTCACTATGGAAGCAAGTGTCATTGATGCTACATGACAGCACACATAAGAACAAGACAGCAATAGTGGTAACACTCACCTGGTGAACTGGAGACAAGCATGTTGTGGAAGGGAATCACATTCACTACTCCATTGCTTTGTTTCTCTGTACATTATTTATTGTATTGTGTGCAATAAATACAAACTACAACTTCATGTGCTCAGTGGTCAAGCCTATCACAAAGACACAATATAAGAGCTGGATAATTGGAATGTTTTACAGCATTTTTGCAATTAGATTATATGTTTTATAAAGTGCTCACATTGTTTTCAGGACCAGTTTGCTTTGCAGATGTAAAAATACATTGCATGATTATTTTGTGACTTCTCTAGCTGTAGTTTTTTGTTGTTCCCAATATAGACAAGAACTTGAATCTGTATGAGTACAATATGTGGCTTTGAATTCAACAGACCCTGTAGTTCTTGTGCTGGAAAGAGAAAACATGCAGAATACATTCCCTTAGCAGAGTTTAAGCTTTTCATATTTTAATCATTCTGCTGCTGCCATTTATCAAAAGAATATGCCTATCAACACCAAGTGATACAAGCTTCACTTCAAGTCACAATAGAAAAGATGTTTCCAGATGCTAAAATTATTATTTTAATTCCCACAAGCTTCTCTTAACAATGTATTGCTCACCTCCCTATTGTTCATTGTTCCGTGTTTAAAGCTGCTTTTTATTTAGCACGGTACGTACCAAGAAATAGACCACACCAAAATGTAATAAAACATACAAACTGGACACTGATATTTTCAATCAGCTGGACTCTCAAAAGCTTGAAAACTGTTTCAGAAGGGCAATCATTAGCCAGAAGTCATTTCAGTCTTTCTATAAACACTGGAATAACTGTAACATCAAACTGGTCTTCCAACATTTTCCCAAGAGCAGTTAAATAACACACTTAACTGCTCGTGTACAGTATGTGTCTGTTTTTGTGAATGATGTGTCTTTAAGATTATGCTTTAATTTCCCATTTCTAATTAAATAAGCAATTTATTTTTTTGTCCAGAAAAAACTACATCTCTTCACAATACTGAAGAATACTGAATACATACTGTACACATATTGTGTATGTATTGGTAAAACAATTTAAATTATTATTTTAAGTATTTAATAATGGAGGACAATCCAGAACCAAAGTGTTTGGAGAGAGGAACAACTTTTAATTATGGGAAAGTTAATATCTAACTTGGTGTTAAATACTAATTAAAAAGCCCAATTTATCAAATGTTATTGCAATAAAAAGATTGCTTATTTGCTTTAGAGCGAGGTAGTCAATCCTAAAGGAAACCTCAGTTGCAGCCTTTACATGTCCTCTGTGCTGAAGAAATAAACTCCACTTCCTGAAGGTCTGCTTACAATCCTTGGCCCTGAGCATACTGGGTACCAACACTAGAAAAAGAGGTCAGGACAAAACATTTACCAACTCACTGATAAGCTAGTCTACGACATACAGCAATGCCTCAAAAGGCCCTCTGTAGTTGTAAAAAAACACATTTTGTAATCTCCCGAGAGCAAAAATAAATATATTAACTTCAGACAATCTGCTTTATTTTGGTGTAAAAAAATCAGAGTATGGTACTATTTGTACCTAATACCACCTCCAAATCTGCCAATAAATAAAAAAATACATTCTCCTGATTTATTACATACAATATCACATCAAGCAAGAGGGCTTTCCATGTCCCCTTTAACCAGATTGTTTGAAAAACACGTCTCTTCACAGGTCGAGGCTGGTATCCCAGCAGGAGATCACGCAGAAGAGCAACAACCCCTAGAAAGCAGGCCTGTTTCCGTCACTCTCCACTCAACCTGAACCAGAAGAGAACAGGAGGGACCCGACTCAGGGACAACATACCTGGCCTCATCAGCACTTCAAGGTACAAGTTAGTCCACTGAAGGTAACGTGAGATATTGCAAGAATGAGGAAAGGGTTTGCAAACCATGAGGAGCTGGGCTGCTGGGTTCAGGTTATTCTGGATTTGTGCTGTGATACAGGAATGACAGACATTCCAGAGAATCTCTACTGGCATGTCATCTGCAGCACAAAGGCACATTTCCATACCTCTCTGAAGCACATCAACAGGAAAAACCTTGTCTTGCAGGTCTGTATTTGTCATTCCTGCCATGCCAGCCTACTGCTCTAAGCTATGACAACATAGCCAAGTCTAACCTGTCTTAATACTGAAGTGCTTCACATTGGCTGATTAAGTGTAATAGCCTCTCTTCCTTAGAACTCATTTTCAGAAACTGAAGAATATTTATAAAGTAGATAAGATGTTTTTGTCCCACTGATCTTTGGAACATTGATTTTTTCAAATCCCTGATATCAGCCATACACTCAATCCACTGCAAGGTCGATAGTATCTGTTTAATTAATGTGCTATCATTTATCATTTGTATTGAAATAACCAAAGATCAGTGCAGACCCATTTCAAAAACAGGTTAAGAATTGCTTTTCTGATATGTAGAAGGGAATTCAGTCATAGTACGAAATATTCCTGAGGGACAAGCTTTCATCAGATGTGTAAGTCTTCATGATGGTTAAGTTAAACTACAAACTGTTTCATTCCTTCTCACTTAAACATTTCAAAGTATGCCATGTTCTGATAAAACTTCATGTTTTGCAACTGGTTGGTTTGAAATATTCATATGCAAAACTGATAAGGACAGTTATGGGTAGAACAACTGATGTAACTACAGCCCCTTGTGGCCACTTTAGTAAGAGAATAACCCCTAATTATTAGTTTGTAATAATTAGTAACAGGATAACTTCCTCTTCCATCTGTAAAAATAGTGACTTTGATGCACCAGCAGCTCTTGGACTTGGTGCAGCGCATTGTACAGCAGGCAGGACAGTTTCCAGAATTAAACGGAATTTAACTAAGCACCTTCTGTTCACAGGCACGCTGGGGCAAGTCTGACAAAATCATTATGACAAAAGGTCTCCTGGTAGCTTCTAAATAAACTATGCCTTCCATGTCAGACCATTATGGTATTAAGCACTTCTGAGGTCTAAAGAGCAATATTTATGGATCGATCAATATAGAAATGTATATTTTGAGCACATCTCAGTATTTTAATAAATATGTTGAAATAGTGAGATAGACCTCTCCTTCGACACATCTCTACTCCACCAACTAGTCCATTTATGAGACTGCCTCTCAGAACAGTAGAGAGACAACATTTAATGCTAACTAGGAGGCTGAGAGAACTGCATAGATACTTGTCTTTCTGCTGATAGAAGCAGGAATGTGACCTCTTCTCACAAGTGCCTATGATCCTGTGTCAGACTGCCAGAATTGGATAGCAGTTGACTAATACTGTACAGTGAAAGAATTTGAGCACCTTCCGAAAGTCACTGCTCTTCTGGGCTTTCAAGATAACTGGAGACGCTCTGAAGTGCTCATTTCAAACTGACGGGCGCAGCAGAGGCACAAGAGCAAGAGCAAAGGAGACTAATGAAGTGGCCAGGAAGCACAGATATATGCAGTAACAAGCAAAATTTTCTTCCCTCCCCCTGCAGACCAGTTACCCACCAGAGCACTCCTTATGGTCATTGTGAAGTGTGCAGATGCCTTTACTGGCTACCAGGTCTCTCTCTTGTGCTCCATGATCCTTAATAATCTCCATAGGTGGCAGGGCAGGGGTGCCGACACATTAGTAGCCAGGTGGCACAATCTGAATTGAGACTCCTGGTGAGACAGAAAGACCTGGGAACCAGCAAATAGAAAAGGACAGTGTACTGCAATGTAATCATCTGGTGCACACCCACATATAAGGCCAGCACTTGGGAATCCTTTATCTTCAAGGTCTATTCAGCCTTGGAGGTCTTGCGGCTACTGTTGCCCTTGAGGTAAGTGTTATAGAAGAAGGACGAGAACAGTAGCAGGTAGCTAAGGTACATGAGGGAGGACCACATGATATTGTCCACATAGGAGGGGCAGAGGCCATCCTGCATCCACAGGTACACCAGCCCGCTTACCGCCAGCCCCATCACCATCTGCATAATTTGTGTGGTGGTGATGAGCATGGCTAAGGGACGTGGGACTCGCACTCCAGCTGCCCGCACTGCGTAGTAGCTGTACATCAGGGCATGGACCATGTAGTTCATGGTCATGAACCAGCCCCCGCCGGCCACGCGGTCCTTGTAGGAGTACCAGGAGTACAGCAGTACGGTCATGTGGTGGTACCAGTGCAGGAAGATGAGCCGCTGTTTGCGCAACACGATGAACACAGTGTCACCTGCAGGGGGACAAGATGCCAGACACATCAGGCAACATCTGGCACACCTATGCTCACTTACTGTTGAGTGGTGCCGCTTCTTCCTGACGTTCTTTTACTGTTCTTTCAAATTCTCACTGCACAAGCATGCATTCAGTGGGAAGAGTAGGAACTGGAACCACATCATCCAAAGGGTAAAACTGGCTGTCTGAGGCACTTCCACAGAGTTGGCAGTGTTTCCCCATTGAAGAACAGACGTTGCCCAAACACAGCCTTCTCCTTGACCTGGTATTGATGTGATTAATGCTCAACCTGCCTACATTCCTCCTCTTCTCTCTTACCCAGCTCAGGAGCCTTGCTCAGTACAAAGGCGTATGCCCAGAACTTGCTGACAGGTCCACTGTAGAAGCTCTGGTCACAGACAGACTGCTTGAAGCCGCTGGTGGTGAGGACATACATCATGTACAGCCCTGTCCTCACTGCCCCAATGATGCTGTGGAGAGAGTAGATAGGCAGTCAGTCAGCACTGGCCTCCATGATCTATATATATAGAAATAAAGAAAAAATAAAAATAAAATAAAGTAAAACTGGTTCACAAACCAGAATAATAACATTACCTGTAACTCAAGGGTCTCATTCATTGGTTTGTGTTCCAGTATAACTTACTAAATAAGTTTGAGACCTTGAGTAACTGAAGATTTTGCTCTGCATAATTAAAAAATGTGTAATTTTTTAACTAAAAAATGTAATTAAAAAATTAAAAATTCAGGAAGTGATGTAGAAAAATTCCAAATCACTTCCTGCAGACAGTCATGTGGTGGTGAGACTGAGGAGCAGTTCCTGTACTTCATTAAGAAAACACAGAGGAAAAGTCTAAAATGTCAAATATTTGGCTGATTTATAAGGGGTTTCTGTTTATATTTAATTAAATGATTTAAAAATATTTTTCTTAAGATTGGCCATATTGTTTATAGCAGTTGGCCATATTGTATCCTACCTTGAGGTTTAATGTAGAAATTAATTTCATTAGGTGGCCAGTTAGTTTCCTAGAGGACACTAAATGGCAATTGACCTGGGAATTGCTTTGGCCAGGGGAGGTTATGGCAGTCAGTCTCTTGTTTAAGGCAACCAAGCACTGCTGGCCACCAAGAACCTTTGTGTTTAACCAGATTTTTTTTAATAGTTTGGGCAATGAACAACATTTTTACAGTTGTAACTGAAATTATAATGTGCCGTTACACCTGATGCACTTCTATTGTGAAGTCACCTTGGATACAGGCATCAAATTAATACACCAAAACAAAGCTTTCGAAAAGCCCTAGTAGCAGCCTCGAACAATAAAACCCTGAGAACAGTGCGTCAAAGCCACTTAGCTGTCAGACTAATCCCTATTCTTGAAAGGACACTCCTGGTTCAGGAACACTTGACATTCTGCATACAGTTCATCTTGCTTTCCTTGCCCAGCTCCTTGCTTCAAAACATGCTTTCAAAACAAATAACTACTTTAAAAGTACTGAGTTCTGCTTCATCCTATAAAAGTAACAAAATCAACTATGCAATTTTTCTAAGATGAATAACTATCTACAACTAAGTAAAAAGGCATTTTTTATCAAATTTGACTGGAAACTTTGACTGACTGATAACTATAGCATTTAAGGAATAAAAGCATTTTACAAAATAGAAGATGCATTTTTTCTTTAAGTGGTACACTTGCAGAATTTCGAGCATCTGACATTTCCTTGATCATCTTTATGCATCTCCTTGCTGTACGTATGTTGCACCCATACATTAAGTGTGTGGGGTGGCACAGATGCATGTTCATCTTGGGCTCTGGATTTAATCTGAATGTGCTTCTTGTACTCATGTATGGAAAACCCACTCCTTTGTTTTTTTAAAAAGGTAGAATAACCATGACAGAGGTGATTAAAAACCGAAGGACAACTGTAGGCACTTCTGGTGACTCCTCACACCATGGGAAGAAATTACAGAAACTCATTAATTTGACAAGAGTCTGAGAGAGCAAAAAGGAGTTATTACTCTCTTAGTCCTTATTTCACTATAATCTGTCCTCTTGGTTGACCATATCTATACCCCTTAGGATCTTATAGACTTGAATCAAGTCTCCTCTCAAATCTCCTTTCTTCTGGATTGCAGAGATTTTCATTTGTGCTGAGCTCTCAGTCACACCATAGAGAAATTCATTGGCTTAATAAAAGAACAAATATAAATAAAATAATAAAATTATTTAATAAAATAATGTGAATTGACTGACTGTCTTTAGCTCTTACAGTAGCCTTTTAACTATGGCATTTCATAAGCAACAACATTTTTGAGAGGAGAAAAAAGTGTGAAAATATTCCAAATCAAAGGATTTGTTTTATAAAATTAAGGCTAAAAATAAGGAACCCCTATTTTAAATTGGATGGAAAGCTGATTCAAGGTAATGAGCGACTCTATGTACAGATCCTTCTCGCTACCTGAGCTCCCCGACAGGCTCCTACCTGAAGATGGCCAGGCTGAAGGACCACACCACCAGCGGCTTGCGCAGCTCCAGCTTCGGCCTCTGCCTCATGAAGTGCTGTCCCCCAAAGATGAGTGCCGCGTACAGACCACAGAACATGAAGGCCTTGCTCCTGTGGGCAGACAACATGCCAAAGCTGTCAGCAACGAGCACTGCCCTGGACCTGGCTCCTCCTGCTGTCCCCTGTGCCTTGGGAACAGTCTGAACTATAGGATACATATCTCTCATGCTTCCCTGTAAAAACACTCCCACCCAGGCCAGAAGATCATGTAAAGCAACTGCACGATCAAACAAGCTCCTCGCTTAATCAACTTTAAAATCTCTTTAAAATAATATTGAATTTTATTCACTCAACAAAATAACCTTACTATTACTATTTTTATCTAATTGTTATTTGGCACATAAAATAAAAAGGTGAGTGCTGGCACCCTGACACCCCTGAGGAGCAGCTAGACTACTGAACAGAGTCCTTAACAGCCCTCTCACAATGATCAGTCTTACAGTGACTGGTGAGAAGAGTCCTTAGCAGGCCTCTCACAGTGAACAGTCTCACAGTGGTTTGTAAAGAGAGTCCTTAATGGTGAACATAGTGAACATAGTTCTTACCAGCCCTCTCACAGTGGTCAGTGCTCAGTGGTCAGTGAGCAGAGTCCTTAACAGTTTTCTCACAGTGACCAATCTCACTGTTTAAGGCTTCTTTCATTAAACATCTAGACGAGAGCCTTAAAACAATTAGCCCAGCTTCTAACTACAAAAATGCTACATGGAACCAATAGCCTCCTCTTGCCTCTAGACTCTCTTATGTAGTTTATAGAATTCACTGTAAGTATACACCTGCATCAGAACTGAGTCCAGTCTGCACCTTCACTGTAAATACACCTGTGTCTGAAGTGAGTCCAGTCTGCTCCTTCACTGTAAATACACACCTGTGTCAGAACTGAGTCCAGTCTGCACTTTCACTGTAAATACACCTGTGTCTGACGTGAGACCAGTCTGCTCCTTCACTGTAAATACACACCTGCATCAGAACTGAGTCCAGTCTGCACATTCACTGTAAATACACGTGTCTGAAGTGAGTCCAGTCTGCACCCTCACTGTAAATACACACCTGTGTCAGAACTGAGGCCACTCTGCACCTTCATTATAAATACACTTGTGTCAGAACTGAGTCCAATCTGCACCTTCACTGTAAATACACCTGTTTCAGAACTGAGTCCAGTCTGCTCCTTCACTGTAAATACACACCTGTGTCAGAACTGAAAATCGAGTCTGCACCTTCCCTGTAAATACACCTTTGTCAGAACTGAAGTCATTCTGCTCCTTTACTATGAATACACACCTGCGTTAGAACTGAGTCCAGTCTGCACCTTCAGCGTAAATACACCTGTGTTTAGAACTGAAATCAATCTGCTCCTTCACTGTAAATACACATCCGTGTGAGAACTGAGGCCACTCTGCTTCTTTACTGTAAATACACACCTGTGTCAGAACTGAGGTCAATCTGCTCCTTCACTGTAAATACACACCTGTTTCAGAACTGAGGACAATCTGCTCCTTCACTGTAAGTAGGTCAGTCTTCCTGTAAAGCTTTCTTGTTTGCTACCAAGCAACTGAAGACATTACAATTGCACCTCCACACTGAAGAGCAGATACAGGCTCAGGGACAGTGGTACCTTAGGGGAACAGCTTATACTAGCAGGCAATGCACCTGATTGATACAAAGTCAGTGTAAAGCAAATTGCATTAAATAAAAGAAATCAATTAAATCAGCCGGTGACCTCAGTTGTGATACAAATAAACAAGAGTCACAAAGCAATCAAGATTGATAAATTAATATGTCAAGAGGCGAAGTCTTGGGTTATTCCCATTTGGAGGTCCTGGTAGCTTATTGCTGACCATATCACCATGCAGTCTGTGTTGGTCTCACATGGCAGCACACCAAGAGGTCAGACAACTCAAGGCAGTTGAATAAATCCTAAAACATCACGACAATGCATTCTCATGCCTCACATTAGCAATTTTCAACATTTGGCAATACATATTTTTATTTCTACTGTTTATTGGTCATTAATGGTCATGAAGCACATTAAGGACACCATTCCAAACACAGTGGACCCGTACAAGTTTGCCTACCGGTCCAACAGATCCACAGATGACACAATCTCCATTGCCATACACACTGCCCTATCCCATCTGGACAAAAAGAACACATACACAAGACTACTATTCATCGACTTCAGCTCAGCTTTTAACACTATCATCCCAGAGAAACTAGTCAAGAAACTCAGTGCACTGGGTCTCAACACCACCCTCTGCAACTGGATTCAGGACTTTCTGACAGTCAGACCTCAGGCTGTCAGGCTTGGAAACCACACCTCTGGCACACTAACTCTGAACACTGGGTCCCCCAGGGGTGTGTGCTTAGTCCATTGCTCTACTCACTCTATACCCACGACTGTAAGGCCAAACACAACACCAACTCCATCATCAAGTTTGCCGATGACACCACAGTTGTAGGTCTGATCACAGACAATGATGAGAGAGCCCTACAGGGAGGAGGTCAATCTCCTTACAACGTTGTGTGATGACAACAACCTCACCCTCAACGTCAGCAAAACCAAGGAGCTGATCGTTGATTTCAGGAAACTGCAAACCAGACATGCCCCTATCCACATCAACGGGACTGAAGTGGAAAGGGTCAGTAACTTTAAATTCCTTGGCGTCCATATCACCGAGGACCTCACATGGTCTCTCAACACCACCTGTCTGATCAAGAAAGCGCAACAGCGCCTGTACTTCCTAAGAAAGTTGAAGAAGGCTAAGATATGTCCCCAGATCCTCACTAACTTTTACAGATGCACTACAGAAAGCACACTGACAGGCTGCATCACAGTGTGGTATGGCAACTGCAGTGCTGCTGACCGCAAAGCCCTACAGCGGGTGGTGAAAACTGCCCAGTCCATCACTGGGGTTACCCTCCCATCTATACAGGACATTTAAGACAGACGGTGCTTGAGGAAAGCTCTAAGCATCATCAAAGACCCCACACACCCCAGCTACAGACTGTATGACCCGCTACCATCTGGAAAACGGTACCGGAGCATTCAGGCCCGGACTACCAGACTCAAAGACAGTTTTTACCTCGCACTATCAAACTTTTTAACTCCCAGCCTCTCTCACTCTCACCTATGATCTGAACCTCACAGTGCCTTTTCTTTCTTTCTTACCAAAAACTCAAACACACATTGAAAATCTACCTCTACCATATATGTCAAAAAGCTCACTCCCCATAATTTCTATCCCTTTATTTCATTCTGTTGATGCATATTTTTGTACATAACCTGTTACCTTTTTGTTGTTTTGCATATTGCCTATTGTTGTTTTTTGCACATTGCCTGTTGACATGTCTGTGGTCAGTTACCCTGGCATCCTGACCAATTTTCCCATTGTTTTTTACCAATGATGGCCTCCCAATAATCCCCATCACTCTGTTCTCATCTTGTGTTTTGAGTGGACTGGTGTACTCTGGCTGCAGTTACATATTCCAGGTGGGGCTGCACATTGATGGTAGAGGGGAATCACCATTACCTGTAAAGTGCTTTGAGTGGGATGTCCAGAAGTGTAAAGAATTATTACAGTACAGGCGTAACATTACCCCCGGGGCTGAATTATGTAACCTGAAGCGAGCGGTTTCATATCCGCTTTGTCTATTGAGCATGTCTCTTCATTAACGGTGAAGTATCGGTACAGACAGTCCAGACTTAAGTGTCTGTATTAATGTTTGGCAAATAGAAGTAAACCGGTTAAGACTAGAGCACTCTCACCCCACCCCACGTATATTCTCCGAAACTACATCATGCGCCAGAACGCAGCCAATGTGTCTGCAGGAGCTGCGCTGCCACGGCCCGCGAGCTCGCACACCGCCCACACACGCGCCACCTTCAACGACCTGCTCGCCGCCTGGCTCCGCTTGCGGACATGCTGAGATGGACACAGTAACACTGAAATAATACACAACATGTTACTCACTGGCTTAACATGCCTTTGTTGACCCGCTGTTTTTTTAGTAATGTTTAGAATGTGTAGTGTCCATATATGTTGATAATATAAAAGTCATAGTAATTTTAACTATTCATCGCAGTGTCAGTTTGTGGGAGGTTACATCTATCTACACAGTGTTCATACTAATTCATTTAAAACATCTCAGGAGATATTCATACACTCAAACAGATGATAATCTGTAGCATTTATTTTAGAAAAAATCAAAAAAAAATTTTCTGGGTGCGTTAAGGCGCCCATTGTCGGATTGCGAATGCATAAACTGTACGGAACTGACATCCTAGTTTTATTTTATTAATTTTGTCCTCTACTTGCCTGTACATTTAAAAATAAGAACACTAATAGCGAGATGTACATGCGACCGCTCGGAGAAAAAGATTACACGCCGTCGCACTGCACGATGACACGGGAGGAATTAATCTGCTCTTCGGACTATGCTGTTTTAAATACCGCATGTTGAGAAAGTATGGTTACTCACCAGTTTTCCTGCATCCAGTCGATTGCACCTCTCTCGTCAAATCGCCGCTCGAATTCATATTCTGAGAGGGGAAGAGGATGCTCCGTCTCATTCATTTTAAACCACAGGGTTATCAATAACGTGTAGCTGGCCTTCTGTGACTTTATGTCTTTATTATAAGAAAAAATGCTCGTATTCAGTAAAAGCCCAATAAATAAATAAACTGCTTGCTTTACTTAAATCAATATCTGTGCGCACTAGCCGTTGCGCTCTAGTGCGAACAAAGACACCTGCAAACAGATTTTCTTCCCAGCCGGCAAGCACTAAGCAAAAGGGGCGCCGGGCTGGACGGGAGCGCAGACACCTCCTCCCAACGATGGGAGTGGCGGAGCATCGGGAGGGGTCGAACATCTTTAAGCGGCTGGAACAATGACGCCATTTTGGATCTACCGTTGCAGCTCATAATAAACCAACACGGCGGATGAAAAGGGGTCGTTTCTCTGTTGCCCTGTGAAGCAGAGGCCATCATGGCTCTGCCTGGTGGAGGTCGCCACAAAGTACTTCGAAGGCGAAAAAAACACTGAAGTCAGCCTATTCTCTCAAAAATATAAAATGCTGAATACAGCGTTTTGTCGTCCTACCGTTAGTTTCGTTCGTTGAGGAAAAAGGAGTAAACAGTTTACTTATTACTTTGTTGAGTTAAACCTGTAGTAAGTGGTCTTTATCAGTGACTCAACGTTATAAATTTAATCGGGTCAAATATTGTTTTATTGTATACTGAATTTGATATATAAATATTAGCTACAAAAATAGATCAAACTTTCTAGAGCATGAAATGTTCTAATTTCTGAAGTACTCATGGTCATGTTAAAATAACCATATGCAAAGTTTAGTTCCGTAGGTTGCAAGTTATTTGTTCTCAGAGGTTACCCCTAGAAAAATAAAGAAAGGTTTCTATAGCAATATCACAGTTCTCAATAGAAACCTGACGGTCATCTGTCATTTGCTCCTGGTGGGGTATTGTCATTCTCGTACGAGAAACGTTACAAGGGAGAAAGCTGCTTCAGCTCCCGCGACACACCCCTTAGGCGTTGGTTGCCGTCGGTTGGTTTCCAAGGTGACCAAGCTTCTGGAAAGTTCTTGAACTGTAGTAGCTAAACGGGACTGTGGTAAAGCCCAGATAACAGGTGTCTAAAGAAGAAATAATCTAATTAAGATTTAAGGCTATAATAAGTAAAATGATCCATTTTATCTGCTTTCTCAACAGTAACATGAGTTTAACACTGTTACTTTTGTTAATGTGTTCGGTACTCCCGGGCTTCAGCAAAGAGACACACAAAGATGAGGGGAACTACACTAATAGCGCCCGGGCGCAGGACTTTCATCTGAAATTATTGAGGCAGTTTAGCAATCTGTTATCCACAGGTAGGTGAGGTATGATACACCGGATTAGGGTTCAGTCTGTCGGCCTGCTTGGTTTTGGGGTTAGGAAAGTCAGTATGGTGTTTACGTGGGGACTTATTGGGGGAAAAAATCAATGTGAAGAATTTAAAATCGTCAAGGGCCGAAAATCCCAGAGACTCAGCAAAAGGGATGGTACAGTACGTGATTTCTGCCTCGAGAACAGCAACATTCCAGCTGCTTCGGGCCTGTCTTACGTTTAACGTCTACAGGGGGAAATATTTTCATATTTTTATGTTCATTCCATTAATAACATTTAATAAACGATTTGCAGTGTCGAAACACTAATATTTCGAGATAAGTCACCTGAAGTAGTGTTTTACGCCTCTTACCGTGTTGTAGCCTACACTGGGTGAAAACTTCCTCCTGAAAGGGTGATTTTTGTCAAGTGTATTGTTCGTCACCACACAATGTTCGAAATAATTTAGGTGCTGAACACAAAGAGAGAGGTGTACTGTACGCACTTCTTATTCTGCTTCTTTACATTGGTACAAATGAAAAGTCAATCGAAGTGAAACACTGCCATTATCTGAGTACTGTTCACGTTGGGAGTCTTAATGCTTCGTTGATACCGTGACATTGATTTTTGTGTGATTTTAAGTTCGTTATTTAGCAAATAAATCTTCGAAAGTTAGATTTAATACCCAAACTTTTTATGCACATATACAAAATACAATTCGAAAAAAGAAAATTAATTTTAATATTTGATCTATAGGTTACAAGCACTCGAACTCCTAACTTTTGTAATTGCTAATAAACAATATCAGTGTACATCATGCATTTAGTGCTGAAATAAAGTAATGGAGTGTTATAAAAATGTCACATTGGCATCCATCTACCAAAACCAAAATCCAGACCTTATAAGTACATTATAAGTATAACTAGTTGAAGTGACCTTACCGACATAAAATAGTCTTTTTTGGTTACAAAATCATGTTTACCCAGTTTATAAGTACTTTGAATCTGTATCACAGATTCAAACTGAGTTATTGGGATTACTGTAAAAAAGCATATGTACCAGCACGTAGTTGAGGGATGTTGGCTCTTCTTAGGTCTGATATTTTCATTGTTTGAAAGTGGAAAGTGAACGTTTTATGTAAAATGGAGTTGTCTTTGGCATGGTCTGTTTTGCACTATAATCATACTGTATATCAGGGAATGATTTACAATATTGTGTGCAAGGAGTATTTCTGCATTTAACATTTACCATGTGTCCTCCAAGGAGAAGAAGAGAAAAATATTTATGTACATTGAAGGTAGTACTATAACTGTCTTAAAGCTAATAACACAAGGGGTTGTGAAAAAAGTGCATCCTCTTAAGCTATAATTACTATTATTTTAAAGGGTTTAAAAAGTCAACCAAAGGACAATGTGTTGTCCTCTTTCTTGTAATAAAATGTCTGTATAATAGTAGAAGAGATATACAGTAGACTGCTTATTTTTTTATCTGGTATGAAATATTATGCTATGTAAAATTAATTTAAGTGTTATTGTTTATTTTCATTTGTTGGCCATCATTTGATGGTTTCCTAGACAATGCAGAACATGAGGTAAGTACTGAAGGTGATCCAAATCCAGTTCTGGAAAACTTCACGTTCTTCTTGTGTAACACCAGCAGTATACCCCCTCTGCACCAGGAGCTTGTAACTATGCTTGTTCTCCTGCAGCAAGTCAAGCATGCTATGCAGCAAGGTAAAGCAGCCATCTGGTTCCTTTCTCTTATGTGCAGTACTTCTGCAGTCATAAACCATAAAACTCAGGTATAGCTAAAATGTTCATTAATATCTGTAATGCATACTGTACATCAAATTATCATACTTGCTAGTGTAATCATACAACAAATAACACAGATACCTTTAAAATAAGAGTTTAATTAAAAGCCAAGGAACATTCTATATGTTCTGCTATATATGCAAGGATAATTGTGAGGACATTGCAAGTGTGTGAGGATGTACAGTATGCATGTGATGGAGATGGAATGTAGAAATTCTGATGTTTTTCACTGCTTACAGATGAAATTGTTGTGTAATGGAAATGGGGGGCATTTTATTATATTACCTTGTACTCTTGGTAAAGTTACTAAATTGGTAAACAATTTCACAGTTAATTTTTGCATAATTCTGCATAATCTTAATCTAATGCATAATCAAATGTTAATATTAGATATCAAACACAATGAATAGTGAGTTAACTTTTTAAATTTGTGTAAAAATTATAATTTAAATAACATAAAAGATAATGCTATTTTTAATCTGATATGTCTCTTCCAAGATAATCTTATCATAATATATCCGTAGTAAAAATACCTGTTTAACTTTTTCATTACTGCTGTATATTAAACTATACTGTATATCCCTTCTAGCTAGCCATACACCATTTTAAATCTCCCACCTAAAGTATTAAATTAGAAGTAACTAGACGATCAGGGTAGAATTTCGTAATAATATGATTTTTTATATGATTTAGTTCTAATGTTGTACTTTTTTGCAGAATATGAAAACCCTGTGGCAGGGTTGTCCCGTGTTCTGAGAAATGCCCAAATTAAGCCAAAGGTGAACATCATGGCAGACCCTACCTATTCAAAGCCCTTCAGAACAGTCAACCTGGTTTTGGGACTTTTCTTCTTCGTCTTCATTATATTAGGTACATCACTTTGATAGGGCATTTTGCCACCATCTGAACCCTGTGGCAAAAGTCTATTTTTATGATTTTTAGAACATGTGAGGTCATTCATTGGGGTTGAAGTAGTTCAGGTTGGTACAGTACCTGCATTAGAATACGTAGGCTGCAAAGCCTTCGACACACCTGAAGAAGGCTCCACAGCCAAAACATTGTGTTTCATTTCTTTTCTTTTCAGCATAGAATAAACCTTTACTTGTTCCATTAATCGGTGTTGTTCACTTATGAGGCAAATGTTTAAATCTGGCAGTAGTCCCAACTAATCATGTTTATACTCTTTAGGAAAAACAGTATAGGTTGATTAATGAAAGTAAAATTAAGATTATTGTTCTGTTGAATGCATGTGCTATTCAGGATTAAGTGTTTTCTGGAAAAAAAAGTGAACATAGTTCCACAAATAGCATGTGTTTGCAATTTAATAAAATCTATTGGAGCTGAAACAATCCAAGCTTACCTTGAACTTCCAGTGATAAATGGCCAGTGAGGGTGTCATGTTTCTGATTTGGATGGCATGCTAGATGGCTAATAGTTATTTACAATAAACTGCAATGTATCTCTTTTCATGTCTTCGTATTTATAACTCAACTATATAAATATGAAGTTAAGTGGAAGTATTACATTTCTCCCTGACTTAAAAATGTTTGCAATTAATGAATACATAACATCTTATAACATTTACAGATATGTTTACAAGTTATTTCCTGGTGTGATGAAACAGGAAAGTCTTAATGGGATCTTACTCAACGTTTGCTTGTAATTTGTTTTTATTTCATTTGTTTAATTTAAAAAACGGAGGTCAAGAACAAAATCTCATGTAGACTGAAACTATAATATTCCATAAGATTCCTCCTTCTACAGTTAACATGAGTAATAATAACATTTTTACAAGTCATGTTAACAAATATTTACATTGAATTATATCAACTGTGTGTAAAGGCTTCTTTACACACTTCTATTATGAAGTCTGACACTTGTGTGGAGTTTTATCATAAAAGTCACTTATCTAGTGTCCACCCAAGTTTAATTGTGTACCCAAGCGTGTTAGAAGTTGTTTCTTTCAGTAACACTTCGCTATGTGTGGAAATCATTAGGCAGGTTTATAGATTAAATTTCTGTTAAAGGACACCACTTTCAGAGGTAGATGTTTTGGTTTTCCTTCTTTTGAAACTTAAAACTCTCTCTAATAATGTGTCACAGCAATGGTGATGCTTCAGTCTGCAGTGTTTTTAATTTCATTGTTATATAACACAATGGAAATGTGCGCATAACTATAATTAAGTATACCACAGGGCTTGTCAAAACATGAGATTTATTTAAAATATTTAGGACATTAGCAGTCTGCTTTTTTAGATGTCCTTAAATTTACAAATCCTCCCTTCAGTTAAAAAATCTGGTGTTATTTCCCACTCAAAAATTACAGGCCACGTTAACATGCATTTCTCCCAATGAAAGGACTGGAAAGAATAGTGAAGAAAAACATTGCTAAGAACACACAGGACCTTATTGACTCCCTGCAGTTTTTGTAAAGGAGGCTTTTTTCTTTTAAAATTTAGGGTAGACAGACCTGTTTTAATACTTTCTACAAATCATTTGTTGAAAGTGTTTTAACTTGTTGGTTTGGCAACACCAGTAATGCAAAATATAATAAGTAGGGGAAGATAGTAAAGATAAATAGCAAAATCTCTGGGGCAAACAGAACAAACTAAATGCCCTCTATGAACATAGTCTTGTACTTAAGACTAAGAGCATTATGGAGTGTGTAGTACACCCCTTCATTGTGAATTTAAACTATTTCTATTTGGGAGATACTGTACCTCTGTCCCCCCAGGTGTAATAGAAATAGAATCAGCAATTTTTTAGGCCCTCTGCTATCTCATTCCCAAAAGATGCAAATTATTCTTATTAGATAAGATCACTTTATTGGCCACATACAATTTCTTGCACTAGGAATTCATCTTTTCACATATTCCAGCTTGACACTCAGACAGGGAGAGAAGCTTGGGGTCAGAGTTTAGGGTTAGCCATTGTACAGCACCCCTGGAGCAGCTGGGGTTAAAGGCTTTGCTCAGGGGCCCAATGGAGTAGGATTCCTCTGCCGGCCACAGGATTTGTACTGGCAATCTTCCAGCCACAGGCACAGATCCTTAGCCACAGAGCCACTGCTCCACTAAACACTGTTGTACTGAATTATTTGTTGGTGTTTGTTTTTGTTGTATTATTGTGTTTGATTCTACCTATAAAATAAATTTTCCCCATGGTATAATAAAGGTAAATTAAATTGAATTGAATTACTTTTCAGAACCATTTGTAGCGTCCTAAAATTATAAAATTTGTGCTATTTGATATAGTTTTACATACTTTGAAATAATCAGTTTTAAAAACATAATCTAAAGTATGAAAGCTGTCAAGAAACAGGTTTGTACTTATGAGGTGACAGGTGGGCTAGAGTTCTATCACTATGATATGAATGTATAGTTTAATAATCTGTAAGAGTCTGAATGTTGAATCAGTATCTGTATGCCCTCTGACATTAGTGTTTTTTTCCCTACAGTGCTAATTTATGACACTGTGAAAATGTCCAAAAATGCCAGGAGGAGGGCTGTAGCTGTGGCTGTTGCAAGGATGAAAAGGAAGCAGGCTGCCCAGAGAACTGAGTCATCCCACTGTATGTTTTGTATTTCTTATTATTCATCTTTTTTGTTAGTTTCTTCTTTCTCAATTTATTTTACAGTATATACCTTATAGGTAACTTTTTCCCTATTGTCCACCCTCCTTCCTGTATAAGGTTTACCTGCTCTGAGACTCTTTCCCTCAACAGATGGGGAAAGTAAAGGGATTGTCAGGATATGTTTTATAACATCACTTTATTAACCCTTTACAATTTCTTGGATTAGGAATTTCTTTTCGAATTAACATTATCTTTCAGTGTTCCATTGGTTAATTTTTTTTAAATAGTGACATATCGTAATTAAGACTGTGAAAATAGTGATTAACATTAACTATCCTCCTTTTCAGCCAGAAAGCTCCATATGTCAAACAGCTCAGAAATGTTCTAAAAATAATTTAAAACATAGTTATATAGTTATAAAATAAACCCTAATAATGATGCATAGTTAAAAAATAAGAATAATAACATTTTAATGTTAAGGTTAAGCTTAACTACAGTAAAATGTTTAATATGACAGAAACACAGGAGTGCTATGCTGTCTCAGTTAAAAAAAAAGTTGCAGAAAGCTACGGACATTTTTGTGTTAATAGAGCCATTTAGCTGCGCTAGTAACAAAAAGCTAAATGTGTTTCTTAGCATTTTGTTTATCAGTATCTATGTTATTTAGGTCCTGTGGCACTGTTGGCTCTGTACATATTTATTTCCTAAAAAACCTCAAGACTATTAATGAAATGAAACACTGTAGCTGTAGAAGATCCAACAATTAATTACATGGCACTGCATTTCAGTCAGGGCATGAACTTGCCAGGAACAATATATGGACATTGAAAAATGTTGAAAATTACGTTTTATGTATATGTGAGTTTTTTTATTGCCACAGTCAAATATAATTTAACAGGATTCACAAATATTTTTTTTCTGCCCGCTGTTTATTGGGGCATCTGAAATACTGTTTTTTTACACTACTGTACTTCCTGTATTCACAAATATGTTATTGAAATGCTTTAAGAACTGTTGAAAACAAAATGAGAGGTAATTCGGCCAATAATCCTGAATATTACATAGGTCCTGAATTGGTCAAGTTTTGTACAGACAATTCTGATTTGTGGTTTCATAAATTTGAACTTTTCTCAGGGTTGTCAGAGATTGTGTCAGTCTTTTTTAAAAAAAAATCATATTGAAAAGATTTTTATTTTTATCAAAAGATAATTTTATTGTGGATTTAATATTTAAAAACATTCAAAGGAATAGTAAAGGAAATTTTATCATACCCAAAGAAGAAAGAGTGAGCACAGAGGTCAAACTAGTATAACAACTTGAGCGGTCTGAAAATGTCTTCCTTATATTGAGAAATAATTGGTATAACTTATCCAGTGGCCTGATGGTAATTTTATAATCATTGGCTAAGTTTTTAAAGCCCACTCTTCCTCTGATTAACTTAGATGATGTTTTATTTTTATTTTGCATATTTAAAGAAAATTTGCGACTGTTTGTGCAACTATGATGGTAGTTTTTTATATTAGGTGTTATATTTTTCTGCACGTAGCTCATTTTTTATAGACATTCTATAGCTCTACACATCACACTAATCCACCTGGATAAAAGGAACACCTACAGTATACAAGAATGCTGTTCATTGACTTTAACTCAGCATTTAACACCATCATACCCATAAAACTTGCTACCAAGCTCAGGGCTCTGGGTCTAGATACCACCCTCTGTAGCTGGATCCTAGACTTCCTCACCAGCAGACCCCTGACTGTTAGGATTGGCAACCTCACCTCCAACACGCTCACCCTTAACACCAGTGCCCCTCAAGGCTGTGTGCTCAGCCCAGTGCTTTACTCCCTGTTTACCCACGACTGTTCTGCCAAGTTCAGCACAAACACCATCATCAAGTATTCCGACGATACCACAGATGTGGGCCTGATCACTGACAACGATAAGACAGCCTACAGAGAGGAGATAAAACATCTCGTAGACTGGTGCTGAACCAACAGCCTATGTCTTAACATTAGCAAAACCAAAGAGCTGATCCTTGACTTCAGGAGACAAGGAAAAGTGATTGGCTGGCCAAAATGAGTGACAGGGGCACTCGTGGTGCATTGGTTGGTAGTGAAAAGATTTAATCATTTAATGTCTTTACTGTGCACATTTTAATCCACTTAGTTTTGAATATTTATATGGAATTTTACCACTAAAAGGAAATTTTAGTAGCTGAGCATAAAAAGAAGAGGAGTATAACGCATCTGAAGGTCATAAACGATATTAATTTAGGAACATAAATATTACTGTATGTACTTAAACTGTACTGTGTATGCCTGGTCTTGGTAAAAAAACCCACCAGTCTTCCATTTCTCCCTAAACATTTTAAGCATGAAAGTTTTATGAAACGGTACCCAAATATGCCATTGCTGTATAGAATGAATTTTAATGTAAAAAAATTATTTAACACGAAAATTAAGCTGTTTACATCTTCCGCCTGAGAACAGTCACCCGTTGCTACCCAATGCAGAAACACAGCC